GCACCCAGATTTTGCCAGTGGAGGCTAATAGATCAGCATTAAGTATTTTGTTCTCTCCTAATTCCATGTATGACTGGCCATCCTGTGAGGTGAGGATGTTGGGTGAGCTTGTAGCTGGTTTTTGATCTACACCGTGTGGTCCTTTATACAGAATAGGGAAGCAGCACATGGCTGCGTATACCTAAACATGTTTTAGTTAGAGGATAGAGCCACAGTTAGAGGATAGGATACCCAACAAGAGACTTGTCGCCGGTCTTGCTGGGGCCCCCCAGGGGTGCGTTGTGAGTATACTCCCACAAATGCTACCTTAAGAACCGTCAGTCCGTCGAGATCGGGTTCAGTAACGATGAAGGATTGACAATAAAAGTGTCCTCTCGCTCACGACGTTGGGTACCACAGTTCTAAGGGTAAGAGAGTATGCCTCCCCGAACACCAGGGAGTCAAAACAGAAGAAGTCCGAAAGAATAATCAAGATTGGCAAAAGGTCGGCGGGAAATGACAATTAGAAAGGAGAAGAGGGGGGAGGGGAGTAAAATGAAATACAAGGAAAAGGAAAAGATATCTGACAGAATTGGTGTAGACAGCAGCAGGAACATAAGGCCACAAAAGGACAGAGGACTGACCCATGGAGCATCACACTCCGACAGCCGCCCACCAAGCCCCCCTGACGACGACAACGGGCCATAAAGGGACGGGGATGGGGGTAGCCATAAGATACAACTTATGCCATCTGTTGGAATAAAATTACACTATCAACAGCCACCCTTCAAAATACAGCTAACGCCACCTGTTGCTTCACCCATGCACTATCAATAGCCAAACAGTATCCCATAAGGCGGGTTGTTGTGCTGAAGTAAGAATTCCTGCGCTGGCATATCATTGGTAGATACTCTTTGTTGACACTCACCACAACAGCCAATCACAGGAAGGGATCAGCTGAAGGCTCCAACCACTTAATAAATCGATTTGTGCAGCACACCAGACCTGCTTATGACATTCTGCTTCAACATTAATCTATCTAAAATAAAAGTGTTAATAAAGTGATAATTAAATATTACAGGATATAACAGGTGATATAGAAAAATGGCTTGGCTACTTAACTTGTGACGTCATTGGCGGGAATTGCCAAGACACAAATAATTACAATGCTCCACCCTCTTATTGAACTTTGGCTGCCTCTCTCCTAACACAACGAATTATTATAATTACTACAAATTGTTCAGTTAAATGGATTATCGGTCAGGTATAAACAAAGAGGTTGTTGTGGAAAAGGACATATGTCATTCATAGAAAAGTGTGTTGGTATCCCTCACAACAGCTGCTTTCTGGCTGTGTGGGGGGGGGGGGGAGGGAAATTAGTTAGCAGTTAGTAATAGTTGATTGACAGTTGAGAGGCGGGCCGAAAGATCAAAGCTCAATCCCCGCAAGTACAACTAGGTGAATACAGCCAATCACAGGCAGGTATTTACTAAAAGCTCCGCCTCCTTGGAGCTCCCCCAATCAAGCTTTGTAATATAGTTTTATAGGAGAGGCGTTATATAATTTTTCTAAATATCTTCTGATATGGGTGCAGATGAAGCGTCACAATAACGTGGCTGAAAAATGTTGACCAGACCACACACTAGAAAGTGAAGAGACGACGACGTTTCGGTCCGTCCTGGATCATTATCGTTCTGATACGGGTGTTGAGTTCTCTATTCGTGTACCTGTTTATTAATACTTGAAGGCTTCTCCGGTTCCTTGTGGATGTTATACCAGTTGGAACAATATCGCTCCCAAAAAGAATACCAATGATGCAATTGTTAGTCTGACTTAATCTACTCAGCCCTTGACAAAAATGAGTTTCCGATTGGACTCTTCCTTGACCTGAGCAAGGCCTTAGATACTGTTAATCATAACTATCTCTTACTTAAACTTCACCATTATGGAATCCGAGGCCTTGCCCTGATCTATATTCGACCCTATCTTAGTGACAAACACCAATATGTAGCCATCAATGATATGACCTCTCCCACTACCATTAACCGTAGAGGTGCCACAAGGCAGCATTCTAGGACCTCTCCTATTTCTTATTTACCTCAATGATCTGCCTAATGTCTCTAACGTGCTAAAACCTATATTGTTTGCTGATGATACTTCCCTCATCTACTAAAACCCCAACCCACACACATTAAATAATGTTGTAAATAATGAATTAAAAAAAGTCCACTTATGGATGTCAATCAACAAACTCACACTTAACATAGAAAGTAAGTAATTTTTTTTTTTTTTTTGAGATATATACAAGAGTTGTTACATTCTTGTAGAGCCACTAGTACGCGTAGCGTTTCGGGCAGGTCCCTGGAATACGATCCCCTGCCGCGAAGAATCGTTTTTTCATCCAAGTACACATTTTACTGTTGCGTTAAACAGAGGCTACAGTTAAGGAATTGCGCCCAGTAAATCCTCCCCGGCCAGGATACGAACCCATGACATAGCGCTCGCGGAACGCCAGGCACTATTATAAAAATTATAAAAAGAAGGCACCAAGCCGGGAAGGCTATGTAGCACCATCAAATGCGGAGTAATCAGAGGGCGCTAAATATCACCAAGGATGCCAATACGAGAACAGAAACGTATAAGGCGAACGATATCAAACGTATTTGATTCATCAAGAATTCTATCGAGGGACAAGCGGCCGCGAGGGACAGTCGGAAAGCAAGACACGCTCGTCCTGGAAGTCAGGACATTCAACAAGGATATGCACGACCGTAAGAGGGACAACGCAATTTGGACAATAAGGATCACGGCGTCGCTCCATTAAGTGACCATGAGTTGTGTATGGCCAATACGCAACCTCACCAGAGCCGTTTCCCGTCGCCGGTTACGGTGGTAGGAGGACGGCCACGAGGACACACTACACTTAAGAATGTGCAGTTTGTTACCAGTAACAGAAGACCAAAAATCCTGCCAATGGGTAAAGATGGAGGAATGAATAACTGGATAAAAGTCGGAATAAGGATTACTTTTACGGGAGATGAGACAAGAGCGGACAGCTTCACTAGCGGCAGCATCCGCACGCTCATTTAAAGAGACATCAATATGGCTGGGAACCCAGCAAAACTCAACTGACTTCAATTTACTGGAAATAAGAAACAGCCAATGTTGAAGACGAGAGTCAACGACAGCCACAAAGGAAGATTGACAACGAGAAAGCAAGAGACGAAGAGCATAGAGAATAGCATAAAGTTCCGCTGTGAAGACGCTAGTCTCCGGAGGTATACGACACATATAAGTGGTCAGGAAGAACAACAGAGTAGCCAACACCGTCTGCAGGCTTAGACCCATCGGTGAAGATGGAAATGGAGTGGGAGTGTGAAGAAAAGTGTTCAAGGAAAAGGCGTTTCAGAACCGTAGGAGGGGTAAAAGCTTTAGTGATACGGGTCAGGGCTGTACAAAATTTAGGAAGGGGGACCCTCCATGGGGAAAAGGACAGAACAATACGAGAAGAAACATTAGTAATATGAATCGAAAGAGAATCCTGTAAGCAAGATAACCTGACAGAAAGAGGTGGTGAAGAGGAACAGGACCGACAGGAGGGGTAAATGTCGAAGCACGCTGTGTGTTGTACAGGGATATGTGCTGTACCAGGCTGTGTTGTGTTGTACAGGACTATGTGTTGTACCAGGCTGTGTTGTGTTGTACAGGGCTATGTGTTGTACCGGGCTGTGTTGTGTTGTACAGGGCTGTGTTGTGTTGTGTCACAACTTTTCATACTTAGATGCCTACCTGAATACCGACGTAGCCGCTACGAAGATGCTAAGAAGGAAAACGTTCGTAAGTAAAGATGCTAAGAAGGAAAACGTTCTTAAGTATTCATGTTGTGAGCCCCAGGTAATCAACAACGTTGTTTCTCCGTCATTTGTAGATGATATCGGAATTATTTCCTTCCAAACAAGATATTGTCTGGGTCTTGGAGTATTGATGTATTCTTTCTCACAAAACAGCGATGATTTGAGCTGGTGGGTGCTCAGAACCAAAGTTTTTCCGAGAACAAATCCGTGTACAGCCATCTAGCAATGGCGCTGGTGGCGAGTCCTGGCGGGCGTCGTTCTTATGAAACCCGGATTATATCCATCGCATTGTTCAGCTTCATTTAATATCTATAATCCTGTTAAGTAGAAGATTTTAATGTTTAATAGCATTACATTGTGGGTTTAATATTGAGCGATGATATATATATATATATATATATATATATATATATATATATATATATATATATATATATATATGAAAATATATATGAAACTGACTAGTATCCATAGAAACGCCTACCCGTCGCAGTCGTAAATGCCCAAACTCTACCTAATTTTAAAATCGATAAGATCATCAGGATAAATAAGGGGAACTTAGACAAGCCGCCAGCATCCTGTTCTCGTCGAGGCCACTTTTGAGACACTGGTGGCCATCAGGTAAATTATAAACTAATTAAAGTGGCTTTAAGCACTGTAAACAAATGAACAAATCCACAAGGGCCGTGACGAGGATTCGATAAGCACTGATCCTTTTCATTATCATTATCCTTTCTGCTCAGCAAATAATGCTGAGCAGAAAGAAAAGATAATATTGTATGATATTAGCAAAGATATTGCCCGACTAGTGGCTGTACAAGAATGTAGGAACTCTTGTATATGTCAATAATAAATTATTATGATAATGTCATAATATTGTATGATATTATCAGTGAGCAAGTATATGTGCAATTTTTTTCACCCATAGTTATTTCTCTATAATAGATTCTGACTCATATAGGTGAGAATACAAATATCATTTTACGCGGAAAAAGCAAGTGCAGGTACAAACACAATGTACTTAAATTCCTATTTTTCGCATTACGTTTAAATTTATATATATCATTTCTATGCAAGTATAAGTACACAAATATATTAAACTGCGAAAACAGTGTAAAGCTCGCCTGAAAAGTATTATTGAGTGATAATAATACATGTAGGCCGGCAGTCCCTCGCCATCCCTTCTTCAGACAACATGGCGGAGTACGACCTCACCTCCAAGTTGGGGCCGTATTTGGACCGCCATTTGGTCTTTCCTCTTATGGAATTCTTATCCGTCAAGGAGGTGAGTTACATTACGGTCTGGGGAATGTATTTATGGGTTAGAGAGAGCCGTAGGTGGAGCGGTGTTCCTGGGAGGAGACGCGGTCTGGGAGTCTCCAGGCGACACCAACATGGGTTGTACCGGGCTGTGTTGTATTGTACCAGGCTGTGTTGTACCGGGCTGTGTGTTGTGTTGTACCGGGCTATGTGTGCTGTGTTGTACCGTGCTGTGTGTTGTACAGGGCTATGTGTTATACCGTGCTGTGTGTTGTACAGGGCTATGTGTTATACCAGGCTGTGTGTTGTACAGGGCTGTGTGTTGTACAGGGTTATGTGTTGTACCAGGCTGTGTTGTGATGTACCGTGCTGTGTGTTGTACAGGGCTATGTGATGTACCAGGCTGTGTTGTGTTGTACCGTGCTGTGTGTTGTACTCGGCTGTGGGTTGTAGCAAGCTGTGTGTTGTACTGGGCTGTGGGTTGTACTGTGCTGTGTTGCACCGGGCTGTGTGTTGTACCAGGCTGTGTGTTGCACTGGGCTGTGTTGTGTACCAGGCTGTGTGTTGTACCCAGCTGTGGGTTACTGCAGTATTTTTCATTTATTCTCTACTTATTTGTGCTCTTTTACACAATGTTATATACTAATTAGTGCTAGCAATCGGGAATGCCAGGTTTCAATCCCTCCCGAGATTCGAACCTGTTTAGCTTATTTTTCATGTCCTCCAGCCTCAAAACTCATTTTCAAGAAGTAGCAGTGCCATTCCTGAGTGAACAAAAACTACCCATATATTAATGAACAAAAGCCTCTGTAACTGTAAATAAAACAAAACAAAACTCATAGTTCTATATATATGTTCTATATATGCCCAGTGGCTTTCCCAAGGCCCAACTATTTCTTGCAATGTTGCCTCCATCTGTAAACTCTGTCCCAACATCCTAAGCAAATCCACACATTTACTTTAATGAACTCGGTTCGTCAAATCGAGTGAGTAAATCTGGCATGAAAAGTGCCCCTCCTGCCCCCTCCTCAACTGGAAATTGGCTGAATTGAGGTTCATTGAATCAAGGTTCCACTGTACTATAATTCTGTACTTTGTATAGTATTACAGTACAGAAAAAGTCTGGCATAAACTGTACTGTTTTTTTGGAGAAGAATTTAAGCATTTTGAGCTTTGAATTTATGGGTTTTCTTATTGTATGTTGAATTGAGGTTTTTATTTATATAAACTTGTTATTTTTCAGATCTACGATGAAACTGACTTGCAAAGAGCAAAATTGGAGCTTTTGTCCAATACTAACATGGTGGATTTTGCAATGGATATCCATTCATCACTTTACCCTGATCAGCCTGTTCCTGCAGAACTTCCAGAGCGCAGGTCTAGAGTTGTGTCAGAGTTGAAACACCTTCAGGTATGAATTTGTCTTGTAGCTCAGCTCCCAAATATTAAATATTGTACTGTGTTGCTAAACATAAAGTAAAATGTTTATGGTTTTTCAAGTGAAGTGGCTACTTTATTATTATTATTATTATTATTATTATTATTATTATTATTATTATAATATCTTACCTCTCGCTCTCCACTTTTTCCCCACTGCTCTCCTCTTTTTCCCCTGCCACTCTCGGTTCCCCCCCTACTCTTCTTTTTCCTCCCACTCTTCTCGTTATGCCTATTTTTTTAATTTCAGCTGTACAAATGTAATTGTAGCATACATACATACTTACTATAATTATATAAATACTATTACTTATTAGCCTTCAGATGCAAACAAAGTACTTTGTACTGTATATTTTAGGATTTTAAGCGAATGTTTCTGTTTATAGAAGCATTTATAATAATAATAATAATAATAATAATAATAATAATAATAATAATGTTCACTCTGGTAAAAGTACATACATTTAAAATGAGTTACAAACAGAATGTTGGATTTCTAGATAGAACTGGCACATACTTTGCCTAAGGCCGCTAATACGCACAGCATTTCAGGCAAAGTAATGCTACTTGGATAATGCTCCAGGCTCATGAATGAGCCTGTATCTCGAATGAGTGTATGTAGGTGATTTTAATGAAGTGACGATTAGTTTGCCCTATTTTCATTTGACCACCAGAAAGGTTCATTTTGCTTCATTCAATGCTGGATTTTCTTCATGAATGCCTTCTCATTCCATGAAAGTGGAAAAAACAGCTTCAATAATAATGATTAAAAACCTACACTTGTGTATTTGTTTATTTTATGTAAAGATTTACACCAAGTCTTTACACACTCCTGAGTGCTTTATCAAGTTCTGAGTACAGTATATGGTTAGGACGAGATTTACATCTCGACAGCTAATGCTTGTTGAGATGTAAGGATTAGTCATTGAGATGTAAGTCTCGTCTTAACCACATACTCAGACCTTGATACAGCATTTGGGAGAGTGTGAAAGGACTTCGCGTAAATCTTTACATAAAATACACATACGTAAGTGTGGATTTTTATCCTATATCTGTGAGACGACATTACCATTGTTTAATAATAATGATGTATGCTATATATGTATGTACAGTGTGTTCTTAGCAGTACTGTATTTCATTATTGAAGATAATTGTGCAGAACCTCATTTTGAGTGTGTCCATTTCTGCAGACAGAGACGGACCCCATCTTCAAAATCTTCAGTGACCCTGAGGTACAGAAGCAGATGCAGGCATCTCGTGACCATCGCACCCTCATGCAATACCTGGTTGAAAAGCATGATGTGAGTAAAACTACTGTCTCCACACATCATCTTTCATGTATGATGTATTTCCATGTGCACTAGCCCAGTGCATATGGAAATACGGTGCATGTCTTTTACGTTTCTATATGTTCGGATATTAGGTATTTTGGATAAACTTGAAAACAGACGAGGGCTTCTAGGATTAAGGTCAGCTTATGGTTCTCTCTCTCTCTTTTTTTTTTTTTGTCATTTACTTTTTATTTCACTTTCATTCACTTTTTCTTTTGTTATAACACTTCATTAGATCTAATTGTAGTGTTGTATGTGCATTAAATTGAAGATTTTATTCTTTTTTTCTTATTCAATATCTTATTAAATAAGGTAATAATTGAACAATATCTTATTTGGGGGTCAACATCCCCACATCCCAGTCCCCAACCAAGCCTGCAGAATAGTGAATGTATGCATTTAGGTTTAAGTGACTTAAGTAAATGGCATTTCAAGCATATGTGTGTATGTATAAATAGGTTAAGGTATGTGTCGGGTAGGAAAAAGCACCAAGCCATTATGACTATATGGCACTTAAAAGGGATAAGGATTTGGGATGGGACTAGGAATGGAACTCAACCACTAGGACGGTCGGCGGTTGAATGTCGACCTGGATGAGGTGAGACCGTCGCTCTGCTGTAATATTCTGTGAATTGTTTTAAATATTTCATGTTTGTCTTTATTTCATGTACTGTATTGTTGTCAGCATTTTGTGCTCTATTCAAGTATTTAAATTAATGGCTATTTTTTTTTTTTTTTAACAGTTCCAGCAAGAAATGTTGGATACCTTGTACTCATTTGCCAAGTTTCAATATGAGTGTGGTAACTATTCTGGTGCTGCAGACTACCTTTACCTCCATCGTGGTTTAGTGCCCGTCAGTGACAAGGTAATGAAGTTGCCTAATATCCAGACACTTTCACTTTGTTAATATAGTTCTCATGTTGCCTACACTATTTATGTTATTCACAGCTTTAAAGGCTGTGTGTGTCCCTCTAATGTTAGTGCTTATCTTTTTCCTGTTATCTCTTGGAACTCTTGAGGGGGGTAGGAACATGCAAAATATTGCCCATTTATCTGCCATTTAACTGGAATTCAATCATCACTCCTACAATCAGTATTGCCACCACCACTGCAAGGCTTGTGCCAGAAATGTAGCCTCGACCCCATCAATGTTTAACATTGTGCCCACCTATAAAAATCATTTTGAAAGCATTGCAATTTACACCTTGTTTTCCACTCTGCATATTTTACTCGGCAAAATTATTATCTTAACCTGTCATAACATAAATATCCATTACTTTCCAGGAGACACGTGATACTGTAATAGTTTTCACTCATTTCGGGTCTTGCCCATGACCAAGTCCTTTAATCTATATTTGTCAAAGGTACTGTAGTCCCATAACTTGCATAACCCTTACCCTGCTCCAATTGTTGAGAGCAGTTGGCTCATATGCGGCAACTGCCTGAAGATGATTTAAGGTGCCCCATTATTTTCAAAATTCCCACCCATTCTAGAGGGGGTGTCATTTGACACTATAGACCTATGTTAATCATTTGCCATATTTGGAAAAAATCCTTGGTCTCTTAGTTTCCTTTCTGGGCTTTCGTAAAAAGATGGGGATGACATCTGGTGCATCACATTGACTGAACACACTGGGTGACCCTGCTAGGAACCATTGTACTTCTAACAGCAGCATATCGGTGATATTCTTGTATGTAGTTGCATGCAAAAATGTGTGATATGTGCAATTATAAAATTTAGGCTTTATATACCCCCTATCAACCAAGCTGTAACTTGTATGTCAGGCTGTGAGCAGGCACATTGAACAGCCTGTTTGTTCTGACCCACAACTAGGAGGCCTACCTTACGATGATTTCAGGGCTCAACGTCTCCGCCGCCCGGTCCTCGACCAGGCTGCCTCCTGACGCCTGGTCAGAGACCAGGCCGCAGGGATGTTGATCCTCTGAATCAGTTATACATAATGAATTCATAATGAATGAATGCATGACAGACTATGCATCAATATAGACTATGCAGTTTAAGGGTTAATGAAAACCATCCCACTCTACAGGATGAGGGTTATGTAGCCTTCCCAGCTTGGTGTTTTCCTTTGATAGTTACTTAACAGGATGGGGAGGTTTTACTGTCCTTTTCCCACTGAAAATTAGTAGGGAAACATATCCAATAATTCTTAAAATTGGTGTATTCCTCCATATTTTTACACAGTTGTGCAGTTATAAAGAGTAGATAAAGTGAAGTCTTTTTTTTCTGATGTGGAAAAGCAGAACAAATGAGTTTAAGAAGTGCATGAAAATGCTCATAGTTAGTGTGGTGATTAACAAATAGAATGTAAACGAAGCTTAAGTCATCGACTCTATATCCGTTCACAACTTGAGAGCATATATGAGAGAGCACTTGAAAATTTGGTAATGTAAAATCACTGGGTATAATAACTGGCAGACGGAGGCCTCAGAGATCTTGCTCCTCATAGTAACAAGCAAGCACTATATAAATAACACACCAGGAAATAGAGGTCAGTCAGTCAGATGTTAGGCTGGAGATATATAGCATGCAGGCCCACTAGGCTCTTCATCCGTTGCAATGAAGACATTAATACTCTTCTAGTGAACAGACAAATGGCTGCTAGAGTTCATCCCCCAACAAATGTAAAAATAACTGAGATGGGAAAAGCTAGACCATATGGAACCTCATGCCCAAGGAAAATGTATGAGAGGGAATATCAGGTTTAGCACTTAACACTGTTACCTCTCAAAAATGGTAACATCAGCATCATACGTGAAGCTGGGAAACAACGTTTAAAAATCTAGCAAGGGCTGTCAAGGCAATTTTCACAGCCTTTGTTAGACCAGTACTAGAATGCCCCTCATTGGCATGGAAGTCACACTTTGTGAACCATAAATAGAAACTTGGAAAAATACAAAGGTTTGGAATAAGGCTAATGCCTGAATTAAGAGGATTAGGCTATAAGGACAGGTTAGGGAACCTCAGTCTCAACTCTAAAAGTAGCAGAGGGGATCTGATCACTATGCACAAAATACTGAGAGGGATAGACAAGGTGGATAAGGGCAACCTCACTTTAAATTAAGAGAAAATAGGGCAAGATGACATTTGTGTAAGTTGTAAGCCCGAGAGTGTTAAATATTCATAAAGAAATAATAGTACTGTATATGTACTTTGTACGAGTGGTCAACAAGTTGTATGACCAGGTTGATGTGAATACTACCGCCAACCACCACGTAAAACGCAACTACTGTACAATTAGCCCTCAATTTGCTCATAGAGATGTGAATTGAGTGAGATGCAGGTAATCACTTTTATACTGTGTACAATTATAAATTATGTAGGTGAATTTTTGAGTATGTGAGTTAAATGCTAATTAGCATGGCTAATATGGTAACCCTTTAGTTAACTATGTTCATTGCACTGTGTTAGAATTCCATATAACATATACTTTTTTTTGTATTCTTGCATCATTGCACATCCCTGGCATTATAGAATTTATTATATTACATGCTGTATAGTATTTGTGACCGGACAGTCACATATATATATAGAGCGATATATACATACAGAATAATATGTAATGTGCTTATTTTATTTATAGAACTTTCTGAATGGTCTGTGGGGCAAGTTGGCATCAGAAATTTTGACTCAGAACTGGGAAAACGCACTTGAAGATCTTAATCGCCTCAAGGAGTTCATTGAAAGCAACCTTACAACTTCACCACTTCAGGCCCTCCAGCAGCGTACCTGGTTGATACATTGGTCACTGTTTGTGTTCTTCAATCATCCCAAAGGTAAAGTTGTATTGCCTTATCTGCAGGAGGAGTCGAGGCATTATGTTGCTCTTTCTGTATCAAGTTGTCATTTTGTTAAATGTATTGTGATAACAGTACTGAAAGTGTTGATTGATGTTTGAAAGAAATTGAACACCTTAAATCTCGAAAGGTGGTCATTTCGAGATTCTTCTCCCCCGAATCAACCTACCTTGGCTTTGCGCCGTGGTGAGGCCACTCCAGACCGACAACCAGAGCGCAACTCCATAGTCTCCTGAGACTGATGGATGCCTACTACTAGTGTTCAAAAGCAGTTCTGTACATAAATCTTTTGTTAACTGCAGTTGAAGTTAACAGCTTAATTGAGCATTTGGGATCTCTTCTAATTTAATCTGGAAGGTTTTTAAAAATCTGTTGACGTATTATTTTTGTAGTTAAAATGTATTGCAATATTTTGAGACGATTTGTCACCTTGCAGGTCGGGAGCTAATCATCGAGATGTTCCTGTACCAGCAGCCATATCTGAATGCCTTGCAAACAATGTGTCCACATGTTCTTCGCTATTTAGCAACTGCTGTTGTTATTAACAAAAACAGTAGGAGAGCTGCAATGAAGGTTTGTTAAAATGGTTTGAAACTATTTTTTTTAAGCAATCATTGTGTGTACATGCAGTATGTTAAATGCAATATTCTGTGTGTTAACCCTTAACATGCTAGGGGTATAATATCCTTTCTTCCCCACAGGCGCATGTAATTTTGAAAAAAAAAAAATTATTTTTTCTTCCTAACCTGTTAATTTGTGTTCACTGATCACGGGAAAAATAATAAAAAAATCGTAAGTGGCATATATTGCCCGCTATAGGGCGGGGAAGTCTGGCAAATTATAGGCGCTGACTCAGCGTGCGTCCCAGGCGGTCTGTTGCTCGCCAGCTGTCAGGCCGGAGTTGCCACAAAGAGATAATTACCTAATTATTTCAATGTCTCTGATTGATTTTTCATAGTTTTTTTGCTGTAATATTATTCAATAGTGTGTAGTTTGATATATTTATATAATAAAATGAGTGAATCATTGCTGTACTCAAAAATATGGTGTGCATATTGTTGATTCAATTATGTTCATCAATCAGTGAACAAATACTTTGTCGGTTATTACACTATAAGCACAGGTTATATATAAGTATCTGCATGTTTTGTTCACTATAACGAACCACTAAGTAGCTATTATGAGTCAAAAAGTAACGAGGAGTGACCGCCGTGTACCAGCCAGCCACTCCCGCCCTCCCTCAAGTCATCTGACTCGCCCACATTCTCCTCCCACAATACTGTTTTTGCTATAATTCACTATATACAGACGTTATATATAAGTATCTACATGTTTTGTTCACCATAACTGTACATCTAAGCTTGTATGGTGAGTAAAGGCACAAAGACGTAGGACCTCACACAGTCAGCTGATGGCTGCCGCCCTCAAGGCCAGACGCACTAATATTTCTCCTCCAACAATACTGTGTGGTGTTATTACGCTATATACACACATTATATATAAATATCTACCTGTTTTATTCACCATACTTGTACAAATAAACTGGTATGGTGCCCAAAGACCATCGTGGTAACCAGTAAACAACACCGTCGTCTGCACGGTGGCGTCGTGCAGACGACGCCACCGCCCTCACCAAAATGGCGGCTCCCAACCTTCTCTTGCTGTTTATACCCTCTATACACACGTTATATATAAGTATCTACATTTGTGTTCACCATAGCGAACCACTAAGCTGGTATGGTGAGTGCAGTCAATAAAAGGTGGCCACACACAGTCAGAAGACATCGCCACCACCCTCCCTCCCACAGCATTACTCCTCCCTCCATGGCGCACAGCGCTAAATATCACCACAATCCTGCTATTATCAGAACCCTGGTCAGTTTTATCACAGTCAGGGGTCTTCTGTAATAATATCATCGCTACATAATAGCATGAACAAGTATATTTTGGCATTTTTAGGCGATGCTGTGGTCACAAGCTGAACAGCAGTGCTGTTAGCTCATGCTGCGTGCGTCAGGCTTGGTTGCTCACTCAATACTGAGGCCAATAACACCCGGGAGTTTGGCCCACGATTTTTTTTTTAAATGGCGTCTGTTTACAAGAGCCCTGATGAAGGTGTGGTGAACCCCGTGTATCCGCGGGCCGTTTAAATCTTGCGTAGTACTCCAACACGTCATATGACGTGATGCGCAGTTGACTGGAACAACGTCCAACACGTCATATGACGTGATGCGCACTTTAAGGGTTAACATTTTGACAATAACTTTACCTGAACAATTATAAAAATAACAAAAATATATCCTTGAGAATTGCACCAAGACATTTTTGCCGAAAATGGGTGAGCAGTGCAGGGGTTAACAGTGTCGGTGTGGAGGGATGCTTGAAACTCCCTAGTCACCAATCTTGCCTAGCCCTCTCTTCAGTTGAGAGCATTTTTACTTATAGAGACTACTGCCAGAACTGATTAATTTGGTAAATTGGGTTTACATGCAATCATTGCAAATATCCAACAGGCAAGACATTAAGATCCAGATCACTCTGGATCTGAAATTCATGGTTAACACATGAATTTGCTCACTCTCTCATTTGCTGTGTTAATAATTGCATATTGTCTTCACTTGTTCACATTAGAGTTCTGTTTTTAATGTTTCTTCATGTCTCTATACTTTATATTTAGGATCTTGTGAGAGTAATTCAGCAGGAGAGCTACACGTACAAGGACCCTATTACAGAGTTCCTTGCCCATCTCTATGTTGATTTTGACTTTGATGCTGCCCAGAAAAAGCTCCAACAATGTGCTGCAGTTTTGGAAAATGATTTCTTCTTAGTTGCCTGCCAGAATGACTTTATTGAGAATGCAAGACTCATGATCTTTGAATTGTTCTGCAGAATTCATCAGTGCATCAGTATCAAGTAAGTTAATGGATATATATTTATTCAACAATTGCCCAACATTCAGGAAATTGTAGAATTTTTGAATTAAAAATGTCATACCATATTATTTCTACAAATAATTTAAGATAAGTTTTATTAAATTATTGAATAAAAAACTTGATGGTAAACTAAATAAAACAGTCTTCAGTACCTTGAAGTAGTTCACAAACACGACCTCTTTTGTTTTGATTCTCCTTAAACCTGAATGGGAACCTGGTTGTCCAGGCTCCCAGTGCTAGCAGTTATCACTCTACTGTTCCTATAACAAGCCTGTTCTAAATATTAATATTTTTTCATACTGTTAACTTCTCTTTTAGTACCAATTTTGCACCCCCTCGCTGGATAAGCATTGTGTGTGTGTGTGTGTGTGTGTGTACATTAGTTCATCTGTTTATTGAAGTACATATATGGGTGTGTGAGATTATCAAGTATCATTGCCTTGTATGTTTTGCCTAACATTTAGGGCCCCGAATATTTATGAAACAAGTGATACCAGACATTATCATCACCCATTATAGTTCTACCTAGAAAGTGCATTTCTAATAATTTCTATCAGAAATGAGAAGTAGATTCATAAACCTGGTAAATTATCAGAAGCAAAATAGTTTAGGGAAGTATTGGATTCAAGGTGCGACTCCATATCACCACTGCAGTAATCCTTCCTTAGTACTTATATTAATTTTTCCTCCTCCATCTATCTCATAACCTTAAATTATCATCATTTCACTTTTTCGCAGCATGTTAGCCGAGAAGCTAAACATGACACCCAAGGATGCCGAGAGGTGGATCGTGAACTTAATTCGACAGGCTAAGCTGGATGCCAAGATAGATTCTCAACAAGGCCACGTGGTGATGGGTACCCAAGCAGTGTCGCCGTACCAGCAGCTCATAGAGAAGACCAAGACTCTCAGTTTCCGCACGCAGATGCTTTCGATTAACGTAGAGAAAAAGGCAACGGCAAGATACAGTGAAGTAAGTATAGTTCGTGTGAAGTTTGTGAATTAGCTAAGCGATCATGTAAAACCTCATGATGTAAAGCATGTTGCGTGATTATGTATGTATTTGGTGATTTGAAAGCAAGTTTACAATGTTAAGTCCCTTGTCTTTTTGTTCTCATATTGGGATCCTGAGTGATAGTTAATACTTTGTGAGTATCCAACAACATTGATGGTGCTAAATGGACTTTCCTGCTGGTAGTTGATATTCTGTGGACATCTTTCAGTTATATATACAATGTAGTGAAGGAATTTCTCCACCATAGCTTAAACTATCTCATATTTTTTATTAGGGATAGTTTCTGATTTCTCTTTATTAGGGAGAAGTTTCTGATTAATTAAACATCAAATGCAAACCTATACTTACAGTACTCTTATTTCAGGGACCAAGCTGGGCTGTAACTAGTTAAATGCCAGTGAATGACTAGCCAGAGGGTGTCACCTTGCAGTGAAAGAACAGCTCCCTGTACATCCGTTGCTATCATCCTGAGGAGGCAACGTAAGAAAAAAAAAATATTAGATGTAACATTTATTCTAATAAACTAAACAAAATTATTCTTTGTTAATTTCCCCGTCATGTATTATTTTGATATCAACCTAAACGTATTCTTTTTCGTCAGATGATTGCAGCGACTCGTGAAATTAACTACTGTATAGGTTCATTTGCCTCAGTTTGACAACTTTGTTCAAATTTGGTCATGTTAATAATCTTTAACGAGTTATAATGGCCGATCATAATTAGGTATGATGTTTTTGCTGGATCATTATTATTAATTTTTCTTGTCTCCATGCAATGTCTAAAGAATGCCTTTTTCCCCATGGTTGGGGCTTTGATGTGGGGAGGGGGGGGAGAGTGCTTTGCTGATCCAAAGGAGAGTTAGAGTGGCTTGTTTAGTTCTTTTAACCTATGATGAGGGGACAAAATGAAAACTGGGCCATGTGCTTCTAGCCACGCTTGTGTTCTCTCTACCTTGAGACCTGTTTCTTTATTCATCATTTACCTTTTGGTAGTCTAGTCTACCCAGAGGTAGTATTGTGGGGCAGCATTTTTTATTTGGGGGTAGAGGAGGGGGGGGAAAGATGTGAGCTTTGGTATAGACTTTGCCAAATCAATTAGTTGGTCCAGCTTGACTAAGAAGGAATCGGCACTCCCATCAGTCCTTCATGTGCCCAAGAGCTCTCAATGGTAACCTGCATATACTATCTCTCAGGCTCTTGCTTTACTCTTGATAATTAAAGACAATTAAAAAGATGTCAAGTTTGAGTGTATTTAGACATTAAAGTGCAAGGAGTATATAAAAAATAGGCTTCGAGGGAGCTGGAAGGCCATTTACAGGTCCCTACTTGCATGGTAGGAGCATCGCTCATAGTCATAATTACAGCAGTTTTGCCGGTATTAACGAGGTCGTTAAAGTACAGTATCCAGTCAGTTTCATAGACCACGCAATCACCAAGGAAGGCTGTGATTCAACTATCAAAATGGTCTACAGTTAACTACAATATACTTCTATAATTATTGCAGTTATTTTGGGCATTTGTGCGTAGCTCCATATGAATATCCCAACCCACTTGATCTGGATGGTAGAACGACGGCCTCCTTCATACAGGTCGGCGTTCAATTTCCGACCGTCCAAGTGGTTGGGCCCCATTCCTTTTCCCCTCATCCCATCCTAAATCCTTATCCTGACCCGTTCAAAGTTCTATATAGTCCTAATGGCTTAGCGCTTTCTCCTGATAATTCCCTCCTTCCCTCCATATGAATGTTTAACCATAATTTATTTATACAAACGAGTGGTCTGACCATGAAAAATGTTTGTAAATGTGTGTGTGTAAACATTGATTTAAAAAATGGGTTGCAAGGTGCAGTTTATGTTGTTTGGCTTTAGACTTGTCAACCATGGGAGAGTTAGTTGTAAAGGTCACCACAATAACTTACTGACCAACCAGCAGGTATTATTCTTAACTCCTGAACATGAGTTTACTCTTGTAAACCCTTGGTGTGTGTGTGTATATATATATATATATATATATATATATATATATATATATATATATATATATATATATATATATAACCATCAAATGCATAATAAAGCACAAAATAGTGCATAATAAAGCACTATGCATAATAAATGCATAGTAACCATCAAATGCATAATAAAGCACAAAAAATAAAAAAGGAAGGGTGTGGTAGGAGAAAAGCACACAGAAACTGTATTGGAGGGGATCTAAACATTCCCTCTAATGCGTTATGCGTGGTTTCCTCCGAGGCTATGGGTCCCCCTTCTTCCAGCTAGAGGTGGTACTCCCTTCCTATATTATAAAAAAAAAAAAAAAAAAATATATATATATATAACGAGAAGTGAGGTTCACCTTCTGGTGTATATATTATTAATAAGACTGCAAGGTAATATCAAATTTAATTTATAATACTGTTTAAATCAGTTTAATCTACTTTTATTATGGTGGCTAGCATTTGCTACAGAAATTTAAGCTGGGGCTCGGTAGTACAGCTGGCTTCGTCCTTGACTCACAATCGGGAATCCCAGGTTCGGATCTCTGGTTGGGCAGAAATGGTTGGGCACATTCCCTTTCGCCTGGGTCAAGAACAGAAAATAAAATATAGAATGGGAAGCTGCAAACAGCGAGAGAAAACGATAAACAAGGCATAAAGGGAAGATCTAAATGGTTACCCCTCCCCCCTCCTGAAAAAAAAATACAAATAATCACGATAAAAACTATGATAAAAAACATAAATAATAGAGGAAGGGAGAGAGAGCTAAGAAACTAGAAAGTCATGAAGATATCCATGCAAAAGGCAAGTTTAGCAGCCCCAGAGAAGAGGGAAGGAGAAAAGTGTACTACTGACCTACCCACTACGCCAAATTTTTTGTTAAGTCTCTCTATATACCAGTTTTTAAGCCCAGGAATTTTTGCCCGCGTGTTCTACATCTTGTCTGGGGGAGGAACGCAGAGAAAAGTGGAAAGGGTACAGTGTGTGTTTCCGAAGACACCTACTTGAGATCTATCACCCGCGGGAAGATTATTTTGGTCATTACAAAAGCCTATATTGACCTAGACAAAAAAAAATGAGGCATACTTTTTGTAGCCTAGCGTAGTAGTATCTTTTTTTTTTTGTTAATTTAATATTTTTATTGAAGCTTCTGTTGGATTTGTATAATATATACATTTTATAGGAAAATATTTATAATATCGATATTCTGGATGCAGTTTTTTCGATGCAGATCACGTCCGGCAGTTACCTTAATTGGGTCCGCCAGCTACCTTAATTGGGGCGCATCCCATCCTACTATCATCGTCAGTCGTCATTATATATATATATATATATATATATATATATATATATATATATATATATATATATATATATATATATATATATATATATATAATCAGTCACACATACGAAGACAAAGGAGTGATGGCAAAAGACACACAAAAGGAATAGCAACTATATAAAAAAAATGAATTTTCGTAGGAAAGTACAACGATCCATAGATTATATCTCGTATCGTCTTTTTATTCTTGTATGCATGAGTAATGTAATGTAATTATCAAAAGAAGGCACCAAGCCGGGAACGCTCTGTAGCACCGTATGCATGAGTAAATGTATTTTTATAATACACTATAATGTCTTCTCCTGAGGCCACTGATTATCTCAAGTCAGGTGGCGATTTACCTTTTTACTTATGATTTAGTCGAATTCTGAATTGCTGTAATCGTTATTCACTATAATTTGGCGGATTCACGACCATATTGCATATTGTATTGCACGACCACATTTGTAGTCTTACAATACGACTACAATATTGTGGTTATTGCATGTATGTATTTGTGTTAGCATAAATTAAAATCATAAGCTGGGCATCGTTGTATCTATGTACGGGCTATTCATGCCCGTGCCACCCTTTGGTTGGCTTAATCTTCATCAATCATCAATCGTAGCATTGATGATTCGATTCATTCAGACGATGTTGTGTCAAAGCCCCGCACAAATTGATGATTACGTCACAAGTCAAGTAGCCAAGCCATTCTTTTATTACTTATATCCTGCAATAATTAATTATCATTTACTTGATAAATTAAAATGGTTGAAAAGTCCACATTTTGGGCAGTTGAAAGTTGCAAGAGAATGTTATAATCGGGATTGGTGTGCTGTACACGGATGTTATTATTAAGTAGTTGAGCATTTGACTGATCCCTTGCTGTGATTGGCTGTCAGGTGAATGTCAACAAAGAGTTTCTACCAATGAGATACAAGCTCGGGGAAGGGTTCCTTCAGCACAACACTCGGCCTTTATGGGCTGCTGTTCGCCTGTTGATAGTGCAATGTTCTGCCAACAGATGGCACCACCTGTATCTTACGGGTTGGCCTGTTGATAGTTTAATTTTATGCCAACAGATGGCATCAGCTGTACCTTATGGGCTGCTGCTAGCCCCACTGATGACGTCACAAGTCAAGTAGCCAAGCCATTCTTTTATTCCTGTATATCCTACAATAATTAATTATCATTAAACTGACACATTTAAATGGTTGAAAAGTCCACACTTTAGGTAGATTAAAGTTGCAAGCGAATGGCATAAGAGGGGTTGGTGTGCTGTACACGGGAGATGTTATTATTAAGTGTTGGAGCATTTGGCTGATCCCTTGCTGTGATTGGCCGTCAGGGAATGTCAACAAAGAATTTCTACCAATGAGGTACAAGCTCGGGGAAGGGTTCTTTCAGCACAACACTGGGCCTTTATGGGCTGCTGTTCGCCTGTTGATAGTGCAATGTTTTGCCAATAGATGTCACCACCTGTATTTTACATGCTGTTTGTTAAGGGTGTAACTTAATGCCAACAGATGGCATCAGCTGTACCTTATGGGCTGCTGCTAACCTAACCTGTTGATAGTGCATTTTTATGCAGATAGATGGCACCAGCTGTATTATTTACCTCCTAATTCCTTTAAACTGATGAATAAACCCTATAGCTTATGATAAGGTTAAATATTAGATGCCCTGCTGTTATTTGGTAACAGCACACATTATTAACACATTCCTGAAGCTCTACATTTACTTTGTTCATTCTTGTGGATATCATCATATTGCAAACTTTTACAATCGGTTATTGAAGAAGACTTCTAATCACTTTGGGCGAGAATTTTCTAACAAATCTGCTTTAATACAAATAATAAATTCATGTAACTTGAATAATTAGTAATGCTTTATTCAGTTTAGACCGACTCAACGATGGCCTCTTGGGACCCATTCCTCAACGGAGTTCAAGTTCAAGTATGTTTATTTAGACAAGAAAGAAATACATTTCAAAGGGATAGAGTAGCTTAGGCTATTTCTACCCCCTCTACTTCAAGTCCCTCAAGGGGCGCAGAAATTCAGTGAGTACAAATAGACAATTAACATTACAAGAATCCCATTTAACATTGCAGGTTAATAATAAACTCTCCTCAACGGAGAGTTGTAAACTATCTGAAAACCCAAAACCTTGTTACAAGATGAGTTTGAATATCTGTTCCCAGAGGAGCAGAAAATGGGTCACGTCATTTTAAATTAATTTAATTTGCAACATTTTAATGTTAGACATTGATATTTTAAAGGCAGATATTTAACATTTGACTTTCAGAAACATTTCCTAATGTGAATAATCTACGTGGGACTGTGCAAGCTTGGATATAATCATGTTTCCCCCTTTATGTCTTTATCATTCTGGAAGAGTCCAGATATTCTTTAATACTTTTAATGTGATAATATTGATACTTTGTTTGGCTTAGGAGCACTAGAGCACATCTAGCTATAGATGTACAGTATTACAGGAACAACCGTGGAAATCTTCAAGAGGAAACTAGATTGTTTCTTCCAAGGAGTGCCGGACCAACCGGGCTGTGGTGGGTATGTGGGCCTGCGGGCCGCTCCAAGCAACAGCCTGTTGGACCAAACTCTCACAAGTCAAGCCTGGCCTCGGGCCGGGCTTGGGGAGTAGATGAACTCCCAGAACCCCATCAATCAGGTATCAACCAAGTAGCTATAACATAGACAAGGCAGCAAGTTAGCTACGCTTGTTTATTGAAGAAACCAGTTGTTTTTCGAGTAAGTTCCGTCGAGAACCCGGATGTTGAAACTCGAGATAAATAGTTATTGTCATCCAGAGAGGCGTTTCCAGCCTCTAGCCTGTACATAAGTATGACTTTGCTTTTGTTGAGGCTTGAGTAAAAAAGCTTTTTGCAAAGAAGTTCCAAAAGTTGGCAAGCCTAAAGTCTATTACCAAACTCACTATCTTAAATTTTTGATCATATATAACCTCAAAGCAATTTCCTTATGGCATTGCTTACGTTCAATACGTTGACCCGAGGTATCTAATTTGCATACGTCGAGTCAATAACAAAGGTTTCCAAATGAAATTCAGGTCGTTTTCACGAATGACAGCGCATAGAGTGCTTGTTAGCAGGAGTGTGTAAGGTGAGTCCCTTCATGCAAACTCCAGCTATTCTCAAGAAGAAGTAAGGTGAGTAGTGTTGTGTCTATGTTGTTGTGTTGTTACTATACTATAATGTTGTGTTGATACCCGGCCGCCTGTCACCTACAGTGTTGTGGGCAAGACTCGTGTTGTTGTTATAGATTCAGCTACTCGGAACAAGTTCCAAGTAGCACGGGCTATGGTGAGCCCGTAACTTACCTGGCACAGGAGCGGGGCAAGTAGCACGGGCTATGGTGAGCCCGTAGTGGACTTACCTGGCACAGGAGCGGGGCAAGTAGCACGGGCTATGGTGAGCCCGTAGTGGACTTACCTGGCACAGGAGCGGGGCAAGTAGCACGGGCTATGGTGAGCCCGTAGTGGACTTACCTGGCACAGGAGCGGGGCAAGTAGCACGGGCTATGGTGAGCCCGTAGTGGACTTACCTGGCACAGGAGCGGGGCAAGTAGCACGGGCTATGGTGAGCCCGTAGTGGACTTACCTGGTACAGGAGCGGGGCAAGTAGCACGGGCTATGGTGAGCCCGTAGTGGACTTACCCGGCACAAGAGCAGGGCAAGTAGCACGGGCTATGGTGAGCCCGTTACTTACCTGGCACAGGAGCGGTGCTGTTGTAATTACCTAAGTGTAGTTACAGGATGAGAGCTACGCTCGTGGTGTCCCGTCTTCCCAGCACTCTTTGTCATATAACGCTTTAATTGTCATATTTATTCAATTCAATATTCATATTCAATTTTTGTCATATACACGCTTGTGCGTGCCGTGGAGTGCGAGTGGACAGGGCAAACACCCACTCGCTTGTCTACAAGGACAGTTTATTTGTTATATGTGTTGGGAAAAGCTTTTGTCATTGCTTTACATTGTTGTCTGTATAATTGTTTTTATTATTGTTTTTTCCTCGATGTCGCTATCGAGTTGACTTAAAAGTTTGAAAGGCAAATTACGCTTTTTTGTATAATTATGTGTATCAATGCTGGGAATCTACACTTTTCCTTATTTTATTGATTATGGGACTTGTAGAGAAGCTACAAGCATTTTGTAAACTTTGTAGAGTACAAGTCCACAAGGGCCGTGATGAGGGTTCGAACCTACGCACGGGATTTTCCCAGATGCGCGCATCAAGTAGATTAAGTTTTGCTTCTCACTGTAGACCGCGGTCGTATCTTGACTGTTGTCTGCCATATTTAGATAAGACTATGTATATATATATTCTAAATTAGTGGCGAGTACTCTATAAATCTAATTTAGGAGTTATAGAATGCATTAGATTCAAACTTCTAGAATATGCGCCAACCTTCGTATACAATTACAGCTTTTCCTTCCGCATTTGGCTGCGGCATTTTTCACAGATCTTGTGAAGGACAGTGTTTTATTTGTTTTCACTCCTAATATGCTAATTGATGGATTTTGTATTGAAGTTTCCTTGTCTAAGCCGGTCAGGAGCGGTCGGCCGAACGGACAGCACGCTGGACTTGTGATCCTGTGGTCCTGGGTTCGATCCCAGGCGCCGGCGAGAAACAATGGGCAGAGTTTCTTTCAGCCTTTGCCCCTGTTAACTAGCAGTAAAATAGGTACCTGGGTGTTAGTCAGCTGTCACGGGCTGCTTCCTGGGGGTGGACCGGGCCGCGGGGACACTAAAAAGCCCCGAAATCATCTCAAGATAACCTCTAGTCTTACGACACAACCATATATTTGGCGCCTCTCTGAAACAGGCATCAGATGGGTATTTAATATAGGCTTCCATACACTCGCCTCTATGGTGTGTTCGCGGGAGGACTCATCAATAATGTAAAAGATTAATAATATAATTGGAGAAATATCGATGTTTCTCCATTTTCTGATGTGGTTTGGTCATCATAATATAAAATTTGTTTGGCGAAGTCAATAAAGATTTTTATGAAAATATCAGTCATTTTTCTCCTCTTTCCTTGGAAAAGTGGACCCAACCTAGTTCTCAAACACGCTTGTCGGTTGATAGCAATCGATCACTCCGTATTTGCATGTGCTCATTTTCCCCAACTTTCGCTCTACATAATCTTCCTCAAAATATTAAGCACGATCCTGTCTCGCCAATCATATATAATCAAAGGTCGCTCCATCAATACTGGCAAGCTACCAGCTCACTCTCTAAGGAAGAATTCTGCCTATCTGAACCAGGCTATCAAATGAACACTAATTGTGTTCATTTTCACCATACCCCGAGAGTCGCAGGTGTCCAACATTGTCAATTATACACATGCTATACTCCTACACCCACTATTAGTTCATCTACTACAACCATTCCTTGTAATAATGATCATTCCACCAAGCAAGAGGGACAAATGTGATAACGGATATCCTCTTGCATACACTCGATACAGATAACAAGAGGAAGCATGCAGTCCAAGCTTTCAACGAAACAAATTATTGATGTGTAAAAACTACAAAATATTCATAAATACTGTGAAAATAATATAAGGTGTACTATATAATTCGTACGTACTTATCTTTTAAATAAGCGCTCTGACTATAATTCACAACTTTAATACCTAGCAAAAGCCTCATATTGGCAAAACAAACAAAAAATGGATAATTTTTTGCTATCAAAGATGGCGGACGCACTCACGCCCAGGCAAAGTACTCCATTCTAACCTATTCATCTTTCTACACGTTTTCAGTCATGTTCATCGTTACTTCATGACTGATGTAATTGAATTACACTTGAGGGAGTAGTAAGTGCGTTCGGGTTACACCCGGGAGGTCCCGGGTTCGAATTCTGCTGCAGAGTAGGAGACTGATAAACGTTTTCTTCCACTTGATGCCTCTGTTCACCTAGCGGTATATAGATACCCGGGAAGTATTCAACTGTTGTGAGGTTGCATCATGGGAAAGTTCATTATTTGGTCTAGGACTAAGAGGATCTTGCTCAGCCTAATAGGCTTCCTCTTCCCGTGGTTGATATATTGGGAAGCATACAAGTTAAGTTCACCAAAACCTAACCACCTGACCCAGCCAAAGTTACGAATAACTGTGTAATAATATTAAGTAATAACTAATGTACTAATATTAATACTATTTCTAAGCTGTCTAACATATGCATGCAGTTTAAAGAGTTTTCACATAAATAAATTAATTAATTATACTGAGACAAGAATTTAAGCAGTGGAGTCTATGGGAACTGGAATGTTAGTAACTGCACATACTGAAATGATGTAAAAGGTGTACTTTTAACTAGACAATAAAATTCGACATGAATTTTTGCACGGCACTAAAAATGCCGTTACGTACGAAGTGATCTGTATCTTCAGAATACCAATCGACTACTGTATATATATATATTGATTGTATTATCTGGTATCAGTATATTTTGAAGAAATCCGGAAAACACAATCGTTTGACAATTTTATACTTCGGTCATTCAGTCATAAATATATATATAAGTACGCAGTCTGAAGAATTATCTCCAAGCGAACAAACATCACGTTAGTGTGATCTCTGTGTGTGAATTATTTCCAAGCTCTCTCTTAAAAAAAGTTTCGTATTATTTTTGTATCCTACTTAGACAGTTCAGACTTTTTGTATTCTGTTGAGACGGTTAAGAAGGTACTTGGCACGGCTTTAAGTGCGCAATCTCTCAATTATTTTCAATTTGTAAGTATTTATCAAGTATTGTTTCACTACGGCCTCATCTTGGGTGAGGCTAGTGATATGGACCCGACTTACGTAGGCTGCTGCTTGGTCTTTGAATTCCCCTTCATACTTTGCTGGCATGAAGGGCACCTAGACCTCCTTGTGGGAGCATCACTGTTGTAGGTTGTACAGGTGGTAGCATCACTGTTGTAGGTTGTACAGGTGGTAGCATCACTGTTGTAGGTTGTACAGGTGGTAGCATCACTGTTGTAGGTTGTACAGGTGGTAGCATCACTGTTGTAGGTTGTACAGGTGGTAGCATCACTGTTGTAGGTTGTACAGGTGGTAGCATCACTGTTGTAGGTTGTACAGGTGGTAGCATCACTGTTGTAGGTTGTACAGGTGGTAGCATCACTGTTGTAGGTTGTACAGGTGGTAGCATCACTGCTGTAGGTTGTACAGGTGGTAGCATCACTGCTGCAGGTTGTACAGGTGGGAGCATCACTGTTGTAGGTTGTACAGGTGGTAGCATCACTGTTGTAGGTTGTACAGGTGGAAGCATCACTGCTGCAGGTTGTACAGGTGGTAGCATCACTGCTGCAGGTTGTACAGGTGGGAGCATCACTGTTGTAGGTTGTACAGGTGGTAGCATCACTGCTGCAGGTTGTACAGGTGGTAGCATCACTGCTGCAGGTTGTACAGGTGGTAGCATCACTGCTGCAGGTTGTACAGGTGGTAGCATCACTGCTGCAGGTTGTACAGGTGGGAGCATCACTGTTGCAGGTTGTACAGGTGGTAGCATCACTGCTGCAGGTTGTACAGGTGGGAGCATCACTGTTGCAGGTTGTACAGGTGGTAGCATCACTGCTGCAGGTTGTACAGGTGGGAGCATCACTGTTTCAGGTTGTACAGGTGGTAGCATCACTGCTGCAGGTTGTACAGGTGGTAGCATCACTGTTGCAGGTTGTACAGGTGGTAGCATCACTGCTGCAGGGTGTACAGGTGGGAGCATCACTGCAGAAAGTTGGTCTAGAAACGAGACGGCGTATTGCCCACGCCTTTGGATCTTATTCCTGAAATATTCTCATACGGCGTACAAAGGTTCATTAAAGATGGATATAAATTTTCAAGTATTAGGAAAGTCAAACAGTGTACAGTGTCTTAACACGCCGAGGTCTCGGCATAGGTATCCAGATGATGCTAGAGAGAAACAGGTTTCTAGGCTAGTAGGTCGTGATGGGTATAGTAGCTAGGCTTGTACCCTCCAGGAGCTTTCGACAGATGGAGTCCCTTGATTAACAGTTTCAACCAATTGGGTTCCTAATCTGACAACCTTGGCTTTCAAGTAGGCAGAGAAAGCCCTCGTGTTCCTTTGGAATTTGGGCACCAGCCTAGTGCTTGGCCGCATGGTTTCGGGCTTGTGTAAGCCACTTGTCGGCCTGCTAGTGGCTTTACAAGATTGTAATTATTATGCTATGTATCCTCACAATCCCAATGTACCTTCTTGTATATATATATATGACAATGTCAGACCACGGAGGAAAAATGAAACAGGAAATTTCCTTAAGTACTTTCGTATATTAAATACATCTTCAGAAGATGTATTTAATATACGAAAGTACTTAAGGAAATTTCCTGTTTCATTTTTCCTCCGTGGTCTGACATTGTCACATTCTTAATCACGTGTTTATTTTCGTGATATACACACATATATATATATATATATAAAATACTTAAGGATTATATTTATATATATACATCCTTTATTTATATATATAAATCCTCTTATAGAGCATTTTGGACTGGTTAGAATAGCGACGGCAGGGTGGTGAAGGGGAATAGATAGCTAGATAGATATATAGATCTATCTTGAGGTTATTTCGGGGCTTTAGTGTCTCTGCGGCCCGGTCCTCGACCAGGCCTCCACCCCCAGGAAGCAGCCCGTGACAACTGACTAACTCCCAGGTACCTATTTTACTGCTAGGTAACAGGGGCATAGGGTGAAAGAAACTATGCCCATTGTTTCTTTCCGGCTCCCGGGATCGAACCCGGGACCACAGGATCACGCGTCCAGTGTTCTGTCCGTTTAGCCACGGGCTGAGATAGATAAATTAGATAGATAGACAGAGAGAGAGAGAGATAGAGAGATAGAGAGAGAAAGTGTGTGTGTGTATGTTAAAGAAAGAATGAGTTAGAGAAACAAAGAGTTAGAGAAAGAGCAAGTAAGAGAGAGTGAGTGTTTGTTAAAGAGTTTGTAAAGGGAGGGGAAGTTAATGGAGGAGACATAATGTTTTATTGTGAAGTTCAGGTAAGGTTAGGGGGGGAGGGGAGGAGAGGGGAGGGGAGGGAGGTGGCTGAGTGAGAGTGAATGTAATACGTGTTGAGGGAGAGTGAAGATAGAGGCAGAGAGTGAGTGGATAGAGAGGATGATGATGGATAGTGATCGTCCCTGGGGGAGAGGGGGGATAGATACTGAGGGAGAGTGAAGGCAGGGAGTGGATAGAGAGAGGATGATGATGGATAGTAGTCGTCCATGTGGGAGGGAAGAGAGAGAGAGAGGAAGGGATGGACACTGAGGGAGAGTGAGAAGGTCCAGCCGGTGTGTGACCCACAAGCCTCAGTTACCTGGCTGGTGCCGCGGTGGACGGGTGTATATCGCGCGCGCTCCTCCCACAAACACACACACACACACAAACACACACTCGCCGTTCCAGTTGCATTGCTACACGCTCTCATAGACCTGACTTTTAGCTGATTTTTCTCATAAGACGGAGAGACTTATTTCCCCATGACGGAGGCTCTGTGAAGAGGTGAGTAATGTGTCTTTGGTATATTCTGGTGAGGGATTTATTTAATCCTGTTTTTTTCCGTGTTTTAAATTGTAATCGATGTGGGGTAGGATTTCGCTTGGCTCAAGTCTTGACTCTCTCCACCTGGGGGCCTCAGACAGGCTGCTACACTCTTTCCTACTCATATATTAGCCTCTTTGGCATCATTCTGTACCGTACTGTGATGTATCATCATTTTGTACCGTACTGTGCCATTATTCTGTACCGTACCGTACTGTGTCATTCTGTACCGTACTGTTCTGTATCATTCTGTACCGTACCGTACTGTATCATCATTCTGCCCCGTATGAATGTGAAGATTTCTTTCACGTCGAAATTGACAACGCCACAAAATTTGCTGGGGTAATTGTCCCTTTAATAATCCATACTCCATGTTTTATAATGTGATTTTTATGCAATAGTGTTGGGCGACTGATGGACCTGTTTCGTCCCCATGATTGACGGAGGTCACCGCTGTCTATTGACGGGAATAGAATTAGTCAAAGCAAATATTGAGGCTATGACTCGATCAGGCAAGGTGTGTGAGGCATTCTTCAGCTGCCTTGAGCACGTGAAACTTGTTCTGTCCGGCAGCGTGGGTTTGTGGTACTGCACTGCCAGGCAGCGTGGGTTTGTGGTACTGCACTGTCCGGCAGCGTGGGTTTGTGGTACTGCACTGTCCGGCAGCGTGGGTTTGTGGTGCTGCACTGCCAGGCAGCGTGGGTTTGTGGTACTGTACTGCCAGGCAGCGTGGGTTTGTGGTACTGCACTGCCAGGCAGCGTGGGTTTGTGGTACTGCACTGTCCGGCAGCGTGGGTTTGTGGTGCTGCACTGCCAGGCAGCGTGGGTTTGTGGTACTGCACTGTCCGGCAGCGTGGGTTTGTGGTACTGCACTGCCTGGCAGCGTGGGTTTGTGGTACTGCACTGCCTGGCAGCGTGGGTTTGTGGTACTGCACTGCCTGGCAGCGTGGGTTTGTGGTACTGCACTGCCAGGCAGCGTGGGTTTGTGGTACTGCACTGCCTGGCAGCGTGGGTTTGTGGTACTGTACTGCCAGGCAGCGTGGGTTTGTGGTACTGCACTGCCAGGCATGTGTGTCATGTGTCATACACGTGTGTTTTGTCAGGGTGTTGTGTCACATGCCATATGGCATGTTTCATCTGCCAAGTAGATTTTGTCAATTGTGTTGCACAACAACTGCATTGTCAAGCGAAGCTATGGCGGTTGTGTCACATGTCGTACGACACCTGCACTGCTAAGTGAAACTATGACGGTTGTGTCACATGTCGTACGACACCTGCACTGCTAAGTGAAACTATGACGGTTGTGTCACATGTCGTACGACACCTGCACTGCTAAGTGAAACTATGACGGTTGTGTCACATGTCGTACGACACCTGCACTGCGAAAAGAAGCTATGACAGTTGTGTACACACATGTACGACACCTGTAGTGGCCTGGCAGATCTGTCGATGTGCCACATACTGTACGATATCTGCACTGCCAGATGTTTGTGTCACATGTCGTACTCCACCTGTGCTGCCAGGCATATCTGTAGACCAGGCAGGTAGTCTCGGATATTTATTCACTCTTGACACACATGGCAGTCAGCTAGTTGCAAGAACCATGCGCGCGCATGTTTGTTTTATCTCCCAATCGTTCGGATACTTAGCCATGTCCGGTTAAACAAAAATTAAAATAATAATTTATCCAAATTAGCTTCCTGATTTCTAAATCTTGTGAGTTGAAATGCAAAGGCAGGTTATTAGTATACAAGTTTTGTAATTCAATTCAGGTAAGCTAGGCAACTTTCTAGCAATTTTGGTGAGGAACTTTGCATTTAACTAGATAATAGGCTGTTCAGAACATTTGGAATTTTTCGTGAAACTGTTAAATATCTTATGTATGTAAAAGGGGTAAAGATCCTTGCTAAAAAGTCGTGTTGGCCATCCTATAGGTAGAAATATGCAGTCATTGTTGATATAGTATAATGCTAAAAAGTCATGTTGGCCATCCTATAGGTAGAAATATGCAGTCATTGTTGATATAGTATAATTCCTTCCTTCTGAAGATGTATTAATATACGAAAGTACTTAAGGAAATTGCTGTTTCAATTCTTCCTCCGTCGTCTGACACTGTCACATTTTTCATCACGTGTTAATTTTCGTGATTTACACACATATAGTATAATGTATAAAGAAAAGATTACCCCTATGGAAGTGGGGAAGTGGACCCCTAGTCGGTGTTGCTAGGTTGTTCAGCGCGTGTAATAGTTAAGGACTAAAATTATTATTGAAGAATATCAAAATTATGTAAATTCCCATTTAATTTTCCGCCATTTACACCAATACACGCTACACGGGTGGTTTAAGATTACGATGTTATCTACAGCTCAGTAAGTTCGCTTGACTTCCTGGATACGGGGGCTCTCTTATAGCCGTGGCTCTAGTGGTTGTGAGGCGAGATATCATCATCCGGAACTTTTTGACGACTTCAGCTTGATGGTACGTAATCAGAGGAGCCATACCTTACCTTACCTTGAGGTGATTCCGGGGCTCAGCGACCCCGCGGCCCGGTCGTCGACCAGGCCTCCTCGTTGGAGGCCTGGTCGACGTTAATTATCATCAATTCGTTAATTATCATCAATTATCATGGTCGACAATTATCATCAGCAGTAGTGGCCATAGGTCACTACTGCTGATGATAATTTAACGGTTGGAATTTTGGGGCTTTTGGACCTGACGGCCGACCCTTGAAGCACATCTAGGTGAGCGCACGTACACACACCCAAATAAAACTCCATATGGCCACATTGTTACCTATCATATTTGTTCTATTGACCAATCCACACACTAGAAAATGAAGGGACGACGACGTTTCGGTCCGTCCTGGACCATTCTCAATTCGATTGTGATCATTCTCACAATGGACTTGAGAATGGTCCAGGACGGACCTAAACGTCGTCGTCCCTTCACCTTCTAGTGTGTGGTCTGGTCAACATACTTCAGCCACGTTATTGTGACTTCTCGCCTGCATATTTGTTTATTAATCAAGTGTCGAGCAAAGTTGCATCCCTCGCCCCTCATGGCCCAGCTCCTCGTCCTTACCAAGTGAGTTTGTTCCTGACTCTCAACTTCGCTGGCCCATGACCCCTCTCCTGATAATACTTGATCCCGTGTATTTAACTGGTCGACCACTTCTGCCACTTTTCCTGCTCGAGCATTTTCCTTCTCTCTACTCAGCCAGGGCTGAGGAGAGACTCTCCTACGACCAAGAGGAGAGCCTCAAGACTCGCCTCTTGGTGGTCATAAAAGTATTTATGTGTACGTCTGATACCATACTACTTGTGTAAAGGTGGAAATGTATATGTTTATCTCCCAGAATGTTCGGTAATATGATTTTGATTCGGCTTTGATTTTCTCAAAGCTTCAATAACAATTAACAGGTGTCTATGGATGTATTAACACGATGTACTGAACGGGGTGAGAATAGCTTGAACTACCTCATCCCTTTGTGTGTATTTTACATCAATAAACTTATTTCAATCTCAATTCAATAACAACTTAATTTTAGGCCCTTTCTAAATTGTGTTACACTCTCCCTATTGATTCATTGCATTTCCCACTATTGTATTTCCATTGTATTTATAAACTTCAGCACTGAGGCTCAAAATAATCACTTCCGTGTATATTTTTCTAAATTTATTTGAGGACTAGTGGCCGCGATGAAGTTAGGAAGCCGGCGGTTTGTCAAAGTCCCCCCCCATTTGTCTTGATTTTATTGAATTGGATTTTGAAATTCGACACATATACATATTTTTTAGCATTATATGCCACACCATAAAGATTATTTTTGACCTTCTGTCTTTAATTAAGTCCACCAGATTTTCAAAAGTACATTTTAGTGTCTAATTTCATTTTCAGCGAATAACATTCGATTATATTTTGCTAATTTCAATTGGGTTTATCGCTAATCTTAGCTGCTCGACTTTCCATGTAGCTTTCTATTTTCTGACCAGTTTCCGATTGGTCATTATCGTAAAATACTAATTATAGTTAATGTTAAGGAACATTTTCAATAGTGATGATAGATAGTTGTTCGGGGTTATGCTTAAGGACCTTTGTCAACCTTTGGAAGGTCATTAAGGCCGGTATTATTACGCGTTTAAATGGGGAAAATCGGAATTAATCCACAATTGAGATTGACGAGTATAACTGGCCGGCCTCGTACGGTGTTCAAGAGAGCACCAAAGCATACCTGATCAACCAGGCTGTGACTTATACGTCAGGCTGCGAGCAGCAGCGTCCAACAGCCTGGTTGACCAGACGACCAATAGGGAGGCCTGGTCGGAGACCGGGCCGCGGGGCTGTTGATCCCTGGAAGCTACACAAGGTAGGTAGACGTGAATTTGTCTTATAAAGAATTTTCGATCATTCCTGGGAGTTAGCCACCGAGTATCGGATTGAAATGTTTCAATAAGATTTAGTATATTTATTAATTTGTAATAAAATCTATGTAAATGGAGCTGCGTTAAATTTGATGATGGGATTAAGAAACATTGTCACAACCATTTGAGCTCGACGGTAGAGCGACGGTCTCGCGTCATGCAGGTCGGTGTTCAATCCCAGACCGTCCACAATTGGTTGGGCACCATTCCTTCCCTCTCTCCCTCCCCCCTGGTCCTAAATCCTTATATCCTGATCCCTTCCAAGGGATATAGTCGTAAAGGCTTGGCGATTCATGCTTATACTTCCATTCCATTCCTCGACATTGTCCAGGACTTAAGTGTAGTAAGTGTAGATACACTGAGAATCAAAGTACACCTTTGTGTTTAAGTCCTGTTTGTCAGCAATGTTTATTAAATAAAAGTGCCTTTATTAGCGTTTGATTTGTTTAAAATGTCGCTGTTTTGATTTAAAGGGTTTAAATAATTATAAGTGGCCCCCTCTTACAAGTGGATTGTTCGTATTTGATCTAATTCACAAATGGACATGCATTCTTAATTTGTAGCACTTTTGTTTAATGACATGTTCTTGGTATAGATAGAGAAGACAGGCAGGGAGGTGAGGCAAAAATCAGAGATAATTGATTGAAATTGAAATTGAAATAAGTTTATTGAGGTAAAATACACACAAAGGGATGAGGTAGCTCAAGCTATTCTCACCCCGTTCAGTACAACGTGTTAATACATACATAGACACACATCACAAACAATAAACATATTACCGAACATTGTGAGAGATAAACATATACATTTCCTCCTACTACACTAACTGGTGATTTGTTTGGGTGGTGGAGCTTTCTCTCTTACGGTGTGTGGGAGTATTATCTGTACCAGAAATATCATTATATTTTATATTAATGCGAGTTATATATTGATTGAAACTTTAGAGGTTTCAAACATTTGAAAGTTTTCATTGTTGAAAGCTGCGGTGTGGTATAGTGGATATATACCCAACGAGAAGCTTAGTGATATTGTGGTATGCTGAGCATACCTGGAGTATACCTGGAGTATACCTGGAGTGGATTCTGGGTGTTCTTCAACTCCCGAGCCCGGCCTCGATTTGTGATAACTTGGACCAACAGGCTGTTCCTTGGAGCGGCCCTGTAGGTTCACATGTCCACTACAGCCTGGTTGGTCCGGCACTTCTGGCAAGAACCTGTCCAAGGGGTTCTTGAATACATCCACCTTTGTTCCAGCAATATTTCTAATGGTTGCTGGGAAGGTGTTGAACACCTGTGGACCTCTGATGTTCAGTGTTCTCTCATTGTGCCTATGGCACCTCTACTCCTCACTGGTTCTATTCTGTATTTCCTTCCGTACCTTTCGTTCCAGTATGTTGTTATTCTACTGTTCAAATTTGGGACCTGGCCTTCAATTATCTTCCATGTATATATTATTTGATACCTTTCTCGTCTCTTTTCCAGAGAGTACATTTTGAGAGCTTTGAGACGGTCCCAATAATTTATATGTTTTATCATTTCTTTGCGTGCCGTATATGTTCTCTGTATTCCCTCTAATTCAGAGATCTCGCCTGCTCTGAAAGGGGAAGTGAGTACCGAGCAATACTCAAGACGAGACAGCACCAGTGATTTAAAACGTATTAGCATTGTTGTGGGGTGTCTGGATTTGTACGTTCTCATAATCTACCATTTTCCTGGCCGCCGCTATATTTGCTAGGTTATGTTCACTAAATGTCAGGTCGTCAGACATCATAATTCCCAGATCTTTTACATGTTGCTTTCCTTCTATGAGTATGTCTGATTGTGTCTTGTACCCTGTGTTTCGTTTAAGTTCCTCGTTTCCACCATACCTCAGTACCTGGAACTTGTCACCGTTAAACATCATGTTATTTTCAGTTGAAAATATCTTCATCTGAAGGAAGCATTCTTTTTCGGTAACTTGTAAGAGAGAGAATGTTAGTGTGTGGGTGTTAGAAAGTCTTCCTTCCCTCCTCTTATCTCCCCCCCCCACATCCTCCCCTACCCATCCCCCACCCCACTTCCTCCCCTACCCATCCCCACCCCACTTCCCCCCCCCACCTCTTCTACACATTACTCAGAAGGTGTACGTGTGGAGCATGACATACTAGGCTAGACAAGCCGGGAGATCGTAGGGTCCCACTGCTGAAGAGCTTCCTGTGTCATTACACATGGGAAGGCCGCTTCAGGTGCTTCATTCTTATAGTTGCTGCTGTAGTTTGTTGTGCACCCCATACTTATACTGGGAGTGGTAGTTTGTTGTGCACCCCATACTTATACTGGGAGTGGTGGTTTGTTGTGCACCCCATACTTATACTGTGAGTGGTAGTTTGTTGTGCACCCCATACTTATACTGGGAGTGGTAGTTTGTTGTGCACCCCATACTTATACTGGGAGTGGTAGTTTATTGTGCACCCCATACTTATACTGGGAGTGGTAGTTTATTGTGCACCCCATACTTATCCTGTGAGTGGTAGTGTGTTGTGCACCCCATACTCATCCTGTGAGTGGTAGTGTGTTGTGCACCCCATACTTATACTGGGAGTGGTAGTTTATTGTGCACCCCATACTTATACTGGGAGTGGTAGTGTGTTGTGCACCCCATACTCATCCTGTGAGTGGTAGTGTGTTGTGCACCCCATACTCATCCTGTGAGTGGTAGTGTGTTGTGCACCCCATACTCATCCTGTGAGTGGTAGTGTGTTGTGCACCCCATACTCATCCTGTGAGTGGTAGCGCAAAAAGGATTACTTACAGCTCTAAACGTCTTAATCAGACTTTATTGGGTGTTATTCAAACTTGTTAGTTTCAGTGTACACATCAAATCAAACTTGAGATTCACGGAAATAAGACTTCCGTTTTTATTGTAATTGTTATATATAAGAATTTTAACATTGTTTATTTGATTTGAATAGTTTTCCAAGTAGTTGGTATGATATTTTAACACGGGATATCTAGAGTAAATATTTCCTTGTATATGTTGAATCGCCTGTAATGTACATAGTTTATAATTTCTTCACGAATATTATTTTATCCACGAGAAGTAAAATTTTGATATATTGCAAAGATTTCAACATTATTTTCATAATTTTAGTTTTATTCACTTTTTCCTACACTCTATTTGTACAATTCTTTATTATTTTTTTAAACCTAAAAGGGGTACCACCTCTAATGCAAGTGTAGGGACCCATAGCCTCGGAGAAGAAAATAAAGGGTACTCAGAGAAGACCTTGTGGATTTATATCTTTATTTATATAATTATATAACTTCTTTATTTATATAATTATACAAAGTAGGCGTTGTTATCCATATCCGGCTTCAGAGATAAGCATTTTGCCTTCTGAGTGTAGGCCTAAAATATTTAGACTTAATATTGAGTATAAAGAGTCGAAGATGATTAAGGTATCTAGGCGTATAACAAGCGTGTTCAATGCTAATGATCTTTACGAGATTATAAAGCAGTTCAGCACGCCAAGTGGATAATTAATTTTAGAGTGGCATTCTTCTTAGTTAGGCTGCCGTTGGCCTGCCGTTGGCCTGCCGTTGGGCTCTCGTTGGGCTGCCGTTGGCCTGCCGTTGGGCTCTCGTTGGGCTGCCATAGGCTGCCGTTGGACTGCTATAGGCTGCCGTTGGACTGCTATAGGCTGCCGTTGGACTGCCATAGGCTGCCGTTGGACTGCCATAGGCTGCCGTTGGACTGCCATAGGCTGCCGTTGGACTGCCATAGGCTGCCGTTGGACTGCCATAGGCTGCCGTTGGACTGCCATAGGCTGCCGTTGGACTGCCATAGGCTGCCGTTGGACTGCCATAGGCTGCCGTTGGACTGCCGTTGGCCTGCCGTTGGGCTGACATGCAATATGTCAAGGGTTGGCTAGTTTTACACGTAAAGAGCTGCAGCTGCAACCCGTCCTCCACGTGTTGCACGTCAAAATGCACGTTGCATTTTGACGTACACTCTCCCCTAAGGCCCAAACCTGTCGTGCTAGAAAATGGAAGCGGCTGGCGAAAGTGACGTACTGTCCCTATTTCTGTTTTGGGTTCTCTGCTAGGTTAGGATAAAGGGGGCACTTTAGTACCACAGTTTTCTGACGTTGGGGACGCTGGTGAGAACAGGCCGGCAGAACATATATTGGGGAGAAGAGACATAAACATAGTGTTCTCGCGGCGTGGCGTGAATAGTGATATCAAATAAGAGGAGGATGTTGATGTGTGTACCTCCAGAGTTCTGACAGGAGGCGGTGGAGTGCCCTTAGGACCTCTTTGTGCAGGTCCTGTGGTGCCGTGTAGAATGTCTCGGTACAGGCGGTGGTGGGCTCTGTAGAACGTCCTGGATCAGATGGTGTGCTACCTTACGAGGCTTATGGAACTTCGTGGTGCATGGGAGATGATGCCACTTAGAACGTCCTCATATAGTCGGTGAAGGAGGACATTGTAGAATGTTCCGGTACAGGCGGTGGTGGGCTCTGTAGAATGTCTCGGTACAGGCGGTGGTGGGCTCTGTAGAATGTCTCGGTACAGGCGGTGGTGGGCTCTGTAGAATGTCTCGGTACAGGCGGTGGTGGGCTCTGTAGAACGTCCTGGATCAGATGGTGTGCTACCTTACGAGGCTTATGGAACTTCGTGGTGCATGGGAGATGATGCCACTTAGAACGTCCTCATATAGTCGGTGAAGGAGGACATTGTAGAATGTTCCGGTACAGGCGGTGGTGGGCTCTGTAGAATGTCTCGGTACAGGCGGTGGTGGGCTCTGTAGAATGTCTCGGTACAGGCGGTGGTGGGCTCTGTAGAACGTCTCGGTACAGGCGGTGGTGGGCTCTGTAGAATGTCTCGGTACAGGCGGTGGTGGGCTCTGTAGAATGTCTCGGTACAGGTGGTGGTGGGCTCTGTAGAATGTCTCGGTACAGGCGGTGGTGGGCTCTGTAGAATGTCTCGGTACAGGCGGTGGTGGGCTCTGTAGAATGTCTCGGTACAGGCGGTGATGGGCTCTGTAGAATGTCTCGGTACAGGCGGTGGTGGGCTCTGTAGAATGTCTCGGTACAGGCGGTGGTGGGCTCTGTAGAATGTTCCGGTACAGGCGGTGGTGGGCTCTGTAGAATGTCTCGGTACAGGCGGTGGTGGGCTCTGTAGAATGTCTCGGTACAGGCGGTGGTGGGCTCTGTAGAATGTCTCGGTACAGGCGGTGGCGGCCCCCTTGTTGAACGTTCTAGTAATAGTGCTGATGGATCATATAGAACATCGTGGTATAGTTATAAAATTTTTGGATGACAGGTTTGATTCTTCCATGTCCGCCTGAGAATTAACCATATACTGAAAACAAAAGAAAATCAGGGACAAAGATGGACAACAGGATTTGTTTTTCGTAATTTGTTGACTATACCAGGATCGTGTTGGCACAGATAATGTGCCTCTGTTGTGTTTGTGAAGATATATGGTGATTTAAAATGTTGTCAGCTTGAAGAATCTATTAGTTGTAGTTTATAAGCATTATAAAAGGTTACTATTTTTACCCCGCGTCTGTGGTAGGAGTGAGATTATAGTCTAAGCGAGACTATAGAGATTATAGAGATTATCGGGAGGGTAGAAATAGTCTAAGCTACTCTATCCCTTTGAGATGTATTTTCTTGTCTCAATAATCCTGCTACCTGGTTGATGGGGTTCTGTGAGTTCTACTCCCCAAGCCCGGCCCGAGGCCAGGCTCGACTTGTGAGAGTTTGGTCCACCAGGCTGTTGCTTGGAGTGACCCGCAGGCCCATATACCCACCACAGCCCGGCCGATCCGGAACTTCTCTTAGAAAACAGTCCAGTTTTCTCTTGAAGATGTCCACGGTTGTTCCGGCACTTGAACTTGAGGGAGATTAATTATAGTGAGAAAATGAGTAGGAGCCATGAAGAGGATTCGAACCTATGTACTTGGGTACTCCCAGGCAAACGCCTTAGACCACTACAACAAGACAATAGGACATTGTAACATTGTAACCTGCGATCCAATTGAATCTACTAGGAGGTCCTCAGGCTTCCACTGAAGCCTAATCAGGATTTCGCACAATGCTCCTCCCATGCATTCAGGCTTGTAGTCTAGTAATTTTAGATTACAAGCTAGTCTAGAATGGCTCATACTGATTTTCTCGGTGATAAATCACGTTAATTATTTTTGTATGGTTCATATACTAGAGTATATAAAATTTGCTAATTTACGTGTGTGTGTGTGTGTTTGTGCGTTTAAGGAAGAGGTGTTGTTGATTTACTGGTTAGTTTCATTTGTGTATTTTTGTGTTTTTTTAGAGTGGGGTGCGCTCGTGTGTTTGTGTAAGTGTGTGTTTGTTGATTCAGCAGTTTGGTGAATTGGTTAACATGAAAGGAAAGGGGCCGTGAGATTCACAATGTATATGTCAAATTCTGACATGTTTGTGTAGGCAATAAGTCTCTTTTTTGTACTTCAATCAATGTGACCCTATTCGAATTTATGACTCGAAATCTGCTTCATTCACTTCCTAAGTGGTTGGGGCACCATTCCTTCCCTCCTCCGTCCCATCCCAAATCCTTATCCTGACCCCTTCCAAGAGTTATGTAGTCATAATGGCTTGGCGCTTTCCCCTCTGATAGTTCCCTTCCCTTCATTCACTTCCAGCTTGTATTTTAAACATTTAAAATCACCTTTAACAAAACGAAACACTCTTAACTTTACTTTGGTTTAACTATGCATAAATCTACACTATTTAATATTTAATTCTTTCAAAGAAAATAGTTTTTATTTTATTAAACCGTATGTTTTATTCAACCATTTTTATTGAAGCTTCTGTTTAGATATGCAACCCGTTCTCGCACTTTCGTACAGTCAATATTGACTTATTAAATAAGTGCATATGTGACATACTAATTTATTGTGAATATTTTAGTTTACCTTGAAAAGCTTCATAGAAAACACCGACCTTACCTAACCTTCTTAGTATGTTAAGATAAGCATCTTATTGCTTCTTAATTACAATTATTACTTAACCTATTATATCCTCTCCAGTGCACATCCAACGCCGACCCCTTGAAATAATACATCGTATTTTGTTGTATAAATCCCCTAAGGTCAAGGGGCGAGATTCACGAGGCAGTTACGCAAGCACTTTACAAACCTGTACATCTTTTCTCAATCTTTGGCGGCTTTGTTTGTAATTATTAAACAGTTAATGAGCTCCGAAGCACCAGGAGGCTGTTTATAACAATAACAACAGTTGATTGGCAAGTTTTCATGCTTGTAAACTGTTTAATAAATGTAACCAAAGCCGTCAAAGATTGAGGAAAGATGTACACGTTCGTAAGTGCTTGCGTAACTGCTTCGTGAATCTGGCTCCAGGACTGATGTACTAAATATCATATTTAGTATAATATTTAGCCCGCAATATTAACGTGATGTACCATTTTATACACACAGAAATCCCAATAGCGTGATATATCAAATGAACAAATTCACAAGGGCCGTGATGAGGATTCGAACCTACGCACGTTGGAACCGTGGTGGTTGGAACCTTTTGGATTTTTTATATTGGCGTGTCCTTGGTTAGGTTAGGTTCGGGTAACTTAGAACGTCGGTTTAGTGACGTTGTGAACGCTCATGAGGACGGGCTGGTATTGTGATTGTAAGATTTAAATTCAATTTAAGTATCCAGTTACCACAATACATATTTTCTGTGCGCTTGTGAAAGAACACAATTGTAACCCATTTGTAATGGTGTTCGAGCTATAAGGATATTTGAGAACAAAATATTCGTTATACTGAATATTTAAATCAATAGCAAAAAGTATTCGTATATTCGTGACGTAATACAGCCTAATGTGAATGAGAAATATATACAGCCTAGTGAGAACGAGAAAAAAGTATTCTGTTTTAATATATTCTTTAATATTGGTTTTAACTGCAATTGACTTGTATTACGTCATCTTTTTCCAGTGTTAAAAATTATAATACAAATATTAGTACCAATTACCTGAAAATGTCGCTCTTATCTGGTAGAGTTGCTCCCGAAATTACATCTCAGATTTTTGCTAAATGGCCGCTCAAGAAACGCTCGAGTTTTGTATTTTGATGACTCGTCTCAGAAGAGAAAGTTAAGAATATTCCTTGACGTCGTAATGTGTCGTTCATTCGTGCATTTGTTTTCCTTGACATTTCCTCAGGAGTTAATTCCATTTCTTGGTACTTTCAAGGGGCGGTGGTTGATGGGGGGGGGGGGGGGGGGGTCCAGTATTATTGGGGTAATGCTAATGCGATGTTTAAATTTATTTGATGCTATTAATAGCGTTTATAAATATGGAAATGGCGAGGTATCTCGCTGGCCTTTCTCTTTGAGGCAAAAAACGCGATGGCAAAAAAATACCATTGAAGTAGAACAGGTTTTCTGATCGCGTTTGTTAGGCTATTGGTCGATGCCTCCCCCTCTCCCCCCCCCCCCTCTCTCGTACCCTTGTTTTGCTCACTCATTCTTGCACTTACACACACTTACACTTACACACACACACACACACACACACACACACACACACACACTCACACACGGGGTAGATATGATAGAGCCCAGTAGGCTCAGGAATCTGCACACCGGTTGATTGACAGTTGAGAGGCGGGACCAAAGAGCCAAAGCTCAACCCCCGCAAGCACAACTAGGTGAGTACAAATAGGTGAGTACACACACACACACACACACACAGGAACGTATACCCAACCCTACATGCACATGAAAGTTTACGTACCCAATGTACCCATTGAGAATGAAACCAGTTATACCATGTTGTTAATGGCTGATTGTGTGTGTGTGTGTGTGTGTGTGTGTGTGTGTGTGTGTGTGTGTGTGTACTTACCTATT